AAGTGTATCGTACCCTGTCTGGTTGATTCTCAACGTACTGAGGACTACCGTTGTTGTTTCCAACTCTCCCAACGTACCGTAGATAGTTGAGGTGATTGAGTTCCAGTTTGAGGTCCAAGAGGAAGGCCCAACTGTGGTTTTGATTATAGGAATAAAAAGTTGAATCCCGAACGATGAAAACGACTAGACAAAGGCCTCGACGAAAGACTTGGTGTCTCTATTGTAGAAAAGGAACCCATGACGTTAGTAGCTGCCCAAAGATAAGAACGATGCAGCTAGAAAGTTTGAAGTTGTTGAATACACTTACTCAGAAACAAATCGTGGAAGTCCAGGAAATGGTTGATGAAACCATAAGAGACTGTAGTCTTTATGACCTACAGCCCTAGAATATTTTTTTAAAATATTAACAGATGTTAGCCAGGATAACAACCTCGATGGCAATGACGAAGGAGAAGATAATATTGTGCACCTTCCCTCGTATATCCAATTGAATCCACCTCTAGTACCTTCTGTAGTCCTGTCCCGAAAGTTCTTCCGAAGTCTCGACAACCAAGACCTACCGTAACTGAAGTATTCGACGCCTACTATGACGAATCCGCAGAAGAACCCCTTGAAAGTATTGCCTTCGGCTCTAAGGAAGAAGAACGAGAAACCGAATTGGAAGTTCTTCTTCAAAAGCTAGTTGTCGAATGTGAAGCTGTCGCACAAAAATGGGCCCCTGAAAAAGAAAAAGGCAAAAAAATGGAAGTCGAGAAAAAGAAAGTTAGTGACATTAAGGTGACAAAGAAAGAAGCTGAAGAAAAAAATAACGACTTACCCAACGATCGCATAAAGGTTGCTAGAATAGGAGGTGCCAAAGAAACATACCCAGTTGGACCTTACTGCGAAGAAGTTGGAGTTAAGGAGGTTAAAGAAAAGAAAGAAATCAAAGTCAAAAAGGAAGAGGCTGGAGTTGAAAAGGACGAAGAAAAAGAAGTTGAAGTTAAAAGAGAAGAAAAGGAAGAAACTAAAGAAGAAAAAAAAGAAAAGTATGAGGAAAATGTACCTGCGAGAATCGGAAAAATCGTAGGTGAAACCGAAGATGAAGACGATGACAACGAAGCTGACGAAGATGAAGAAGATAACGATGACGACGATGAGACAATCGTAGACGAAGAAGACAATGAAAAGAAAGAAGACGTAGAAGAACTTACCAAAAAAAGTAAAAACCTGGATTATGCCTGCGAATCGTGGATAAAGAAAGTTGAAGGATTTAGAAGTAGGGTCGGATAGAGTAGAGGAGCAAAAGAATCTATCGAAAATGAACCTGCCGAGGCCGAAGAAGATACAACGAATATCGGTGAATGTTACCGAAACGAAGGTGGAGTTAAAAAGAATGAAAATAAAGCCTTCACCTATCATCAAAGATCTGGCGAGTCAGGTG